TATGGATAACTCGCGGAAGGTCTCGCGATGGGTTCCGAAACTCTCCCACCACATAATTTGTCTGCAACTATTAGTCAAGGAGTAGAACCAGTGGAATCGTACTCACATTATCCCAGCCATCAAAGGCCCAGAGCCCAGCATAAAGGGCCACTGCCCAAGAAGATGCATTTGTTGACGTCCCTTCAAACCAACCGATTGTCTTCCAGTCTTGATTCGCCTGACCCGATGCTGAAAACCCTGTAACCGCAACCACAATGCCAATGACCGTAACGCCGAGCAGTGCAACAAACTTGAAGAACATAAACATATCTCCCATCCTAGTTCCCAATTTCGTAGATATACAATTCAACAATGTGACCGCAAATAGCCCAATCAACGCCACTGACTTGTTGATCCAAGAGCTGACATTCTCTGCTTCTGCACCGATCGCTGCTCGGACGAGGTATTCCCCCATGATGATAGATATGATGGCTGAGGATCCAGGCTTCAAGACCATCACCGCACACCACGTGAAGAGAAAGCCAAACAGCTCCCCGAATATCTTGGACAGGTAGACCTGCGCGCCTCCATTCAGCGGTATTGCCCCTCCCAGCTCCGCAAAACTAGCTGCCCCCGTCCATGCCAGCAGTCCAGCAATTGCCCATACAATCAGTGATGCCCCTGGCGATCCAGCATTGACGTTGACCTGGCTCGGTGAAGAGAAGATTCCGGACCCAATTATCAACCCAACGATGAGCGACAATCCGTTCAAGTATGTCAATGTCTTGTGCTTCTCTAGCGAACCACCCCCCAACGCAGATTGGTCATTCGACGCAGATATGGGGGCTCCTATTGGAGCGTAGCCATTTCCGGCAGTGGAGGATAGGGGGAAGAGATTCGAGGCAAAGTCGAATGTGGAGGAAACGGAGTAGGATCGATTGTGAGGTCCCGGTCTTCCACCTGCAGCAGGATTTCGATCATCGAGGGGGTCGTCTTCTTCTAGGGACAGCTTTCGGGATGAAGATATGCCGGGTCGAGAGGAGGTTGAGGAGGAGGATGTCCTTGGACCGGGAGAGCTAGAAGCCAGGCTGGCCAGTTCAAGAGAGTCGCGCGCATGCGGTTGAAGGTTTGAGTAGGTCCGCGACATGGTATTCTTTTTTCTTGCTATTGCATGTGCATTCTCTTTGGCAGGGGAGAGGAGCAATTCGTGAGGCTGACGTAGCTATTGTGGCATCCGCATGGCGGTCGTGAGAAAATATACAATTATACGGTCGGAGGCGCGGAATGGAATAGGCCAAGGTGTGTACTCGAAGACTCGGCGTAGCGAAAATGAAACGGTAGAGAGATACTCGCAGACAGGGCAGGTTGTTGTCGTGTCTTGGGGTTGGCTTCTTTGTCTTCAGTTGTGTTGGCGTGGAAATTCGTCTGATTGGTCGAGGAATTTGCACCTTCAACAGCCTCGCGTGACAGCAAACACCAACATCAACGTCGACAATGAAGCTACTCCCATAGCACACAATGTTGCAACGAGACCATGAAAAGGACAATTGGCACGCATGCAGGTCGGGCGTGGGCTCGGCCTGGGCGTGGAAGATCTCTCGGCAGTAGTCAACGCCTTTTCTCGATCTTCGTCGGTACATTGTATGAATCCGATCCCAACCTCAACCTCCCAGCTCTCGATCAAAAATGGCAGCTGGAATGGCAGAGACGAAAGATGCAGAAGCGCTGGGGGAATTGGACCCTCTTTCCTGGCGCCAAAGAGGTAGAGCCAGAGGAGAGCAAGAGGAAGATGTACATCTTACCAATGTTTCCTTACCCATCAGGGGACCTTCACCTTGGCCATCTGCGAGTCTACACAATATCTGATGTTCTGGCTCGATTTCGGCGTATGCAAGGCTACGACGTTATGCATCCAATTGGTTGGGACGCATTTGGACTTCCGGCAGAGAATGCTGCCATTGAACGGGGTATTGATCCAGCCTCCTGGACCAAACAGAATATCAAGAGGATGAAATCACAACTGCAGGCCATGAACGGCCACTGGGACTGGGATAAAGTGCGTATGCCACCACTCTGGGTAGTCTACCTCTGACTTGGAAGCAGGAGTTTGCGACCTGCGATCCCAGATTCTACAAGCATACCCAACATCTCTTCCACCTCCTACACGAAGCTGGCTTTGCATATCAAGCGGAGTCACTCGTTAACTACGACCCTGTAGACAAGACGGTATTAGCAAACGAGCAAGTGGACGCTAATGGATTCTCGTGGAGATCTGGAGCCAAAGTCGAGCAACGGATGCTGAAGCAGTGGTTCTTCGACATTTCGGAGTTTAGACAGGAGTTGTTGGACGGCCTGGAGGACCTGGCAAAGAAAGGGGGGTGGCCCGAGAGAGTTCTGGCAATGCAGAAGAACTGGATTGGAAAATCGACAGGAGCTCGAATAAAATTCCCTGTTGTGGCATACGACCAGCAGACCCATTCGGACATTGAAATTTTTACAACTCGGCCGGACACAATATTCGGTGTTCAATATGTTGCTCTTGCATCAACTCATCCTATTGTTCATAGTTTGGCAAAGACAGATGTAGAGCTGCAAGCTTTCTTGGATACAATTCCTGCACTGCCCTTAGATTCAAAAATTGGGTACCTTCTACCCCACGTCCGAGCACTGAACCCCTTGGCGTACGAGGAATCAACACCAGATGCTGCTAAAGCTTCGTTACCAATTTACGTGGCGCCGTACGTTCTGGGTGACTATGGAGACGGAGCCGTTATGGGAGTTCCAGGACATGATACCAGAGACCATACCTTCTGGAAGCATAATCGTTACGACGACCCTGTCAGGGTGGTCATATCTCAATCACCAGATGAGGCAACCACCGCGCTGAGCAATGAGCCCTTCGTGCATCATGGGTACCTCACAAAACACAGCGGCCCATACGCTGGGCAGACCACTTCGGAAGCCACCAATAAGATCATCGCTCTGTTGGAGTCTAAAGGCCTTGGCTCCAAAGCAGAAACCTGGCGCCTTCGAGACTGGCTGATCAGCCGTCAGCGCTACTGGGGGACTCCAATTCCTATCATACATTGTGATGCGTGTGGCACTGTGCCTGTTCCCAAAGACCAGCTCCCAGTGGAACTCCCTCCTGTAAAGGGGCATTGGGGCGAAGGGAGAGCTGGCAATCCCTTGGACCATGCTCATGACTGGGTCAATACTACCTGTCCGTCGTGTGGAGGAGCTGCGAAGCGAGACACTGACACGATGGATACTTTTGTTGATTCGAGTTGGTACTTCATGAGATTTCCAAACCCAAACAATCAGGAAGCACCCTTTTCGCCCGAAGCTGCAAATGCTAACCTCCCCGTTGATCTTTACATCGGTGGCGTGGAACATGCCATCCTGCATCTGCTTTACGCGCGCTTCATCTCCAAATTTGTGGCTACGACACCACTCTGGCCCGACGGCTGGAAGTCTGCGGGAGAACCATTCAAGGAGGTCTTGACCCAGGGTATGGTTCACGGAAAGACGTACACTGACCCTAACACTGGACGGTTCCTCAAGCCGGATGAAGTTGACCTGACAGATCCTTCCAGTCCTTTGATTATTGTCTCCGGAGAAAAGCCCAATGTCACGTTCGAGAAGATGTCGAAATCGAAGTACAATGGAGTGGATCCCGGTATATGCATGGCAAAATATGGCGCCGATGCAACCAGGGCTCATATTCTTTTTCAAGCTCCTGTCAGCGAGGTCCTGGAGTGGGACGAGGGGAAAATATCCGGGATAACTCGATGGCTGCGTCGACTCTATGAATTCATCAGACAGAATTCGGGGGAATGGGCGATAATAGTTGCAGCTTTGGAAGAAGATCTACCCAAGAGTCACTTTATGAAACAGTATGAGATGCAGGAGACAATCGGAGCGATGCTAAATTATCCAAATGCAAGGAGAATGAGTGTCAGCCGCCACAATCGCAGAAAGCCGGTCGATGTCACGGAGAGGTGGAAGACCAATAGCCCCAAGCTTTTCAACGAAGACAAGAAGCTGTGGCGAGCAGTCCAATTGACAATCAGCAACGTGACTGAGTCATACGAGAAAACACATTCTCTAAACACGGTTGTTTCAGACCTGATGGCGCTCACCAACACCATCATAGACCATGGGAACTTTGCCATCAAGGACGAGGAGGTCAAGGACTGGGGCACCGACAAGTTTATCACTTATCACGCAACCCTAGAGCTGCTCAAGATGATGGCTCCTATCACCCCTGCCTTCGCGGAGGAATGCTGGGCGATCCTTCACGAACGCCTGCCCTCTGCTTGGGTAATCACGCTTGCAAAACTTGCGAATCGCCTCAGACCACGCATAATTGTATACCCCAAGTCAGATAGGTCCAGAAAGTCGATCTTTGACCAGCCGTTCCCTACCACGGATGGCACTTTCGAAATGCTAGCTCCTGGAACACAGTCGTGTGCTGTGCAAGTCAATGGGCGGTTGCGGCTTGTGGTTGAAATTTCTGCCCTCCCAGCGAATTTGAAGGGTAAGGAGCTGGAGAAGTGGATTGTGAAGGAGATCTTGGACACAAAAGAGGGGAAGGAGAGGCTGCAGGGTGGGCAGTCGATGTCTGATATCAGGAAAGCGACCAAGGTGATTGTTGTAAAGGGTGGGAAGACCGTAAATTTTGTTGTGTAAAATACAAGTGTAACTATACCCAGATTCTCCTTTCGAAAATAGATATCAAAAGCCCTCCTTCTTTGCTGGGACTTGGAAGTCAACTGCGCATCTGTGAGCCTCATCTTCTATTCGCGGAGGGACAGGAAGCGAGGTCTCCTTTGATACGGCTTCTGATTGGCACCGGATGAAACCCACCTCTTCCCCACACCGCTTTCACATTTTTATCTCGCCTCCCATTCCGTACCACTCGCCAATACATATGTTTAAATAAGCCCATTTCCTGCCATCCAATCGATTCAACGGTCGCGTAAGTTCCTTCAACCACCCCGTCAAAAGCAAATTCTAACATCAAACAGTTAGCTCAGTTGGTTAGAGCGTGTATGTTCAACTTAATACTGCAAGCCCGACGCACCACTAATAGAGAAATAGGGTGCTAATAACGCCAAGGTCGCGAGTTCGACCCTCGTAGTGACCAAATATCGAACATTAAGTTTCTTTGTTTTGCAAATTTTTTTTTTGGCGTCGTGCATGTGGGTTTGGGAAGCGGGCCTTCTAATCTTAGCTAGGATTTTGTCGACTTGCTTCTCCACTTCATAGCAAAGGAGGGGAAGAGAAGCAGGGAAATTTTGGCTGACATGATGTACAAGTGTATTAATTATTGGGTACTTCCAAAATCATTATGGTATCATTATACATACAAATCCGCTTTCCATTTTGCCTCTGTCAAATCAACGCTTTCCTATTTTGACATCGTAGACTAAGTCAATATTATCGTGGCCACTTAAAATGTCCCAGTAGGGTTGTTATTGTAAGGCTGATGAGTCCTCACATATCCATCATTTGCCGCCCCTGGAGTGTGAGTAGTAGTCGCGGTCTGGTGTCCATATGAAGTGACATTGCCATACTTGTTTAATGGAGCTTCACCCGCACCAATGGCGGTTGTATCCGTAGCATATGAAGTTCTGAAATCCGCAGGTGTAGCGTGGGTGGGCAGGGCATCGGCATTCTTTTCGTACATGGTGTTGCGCTTCTGCTTGCGTTGCCAGAACTTGCGCTTGGGAGAGCCAGCTGTGTACCCATTGTTGGGGGAGGGGCCGAAGGCCTTCTCCTTGCGGCGGTGCTTGATGAGGCCGAGTTCGACTGGGATAGAGAGCAGGAAGAAGACTCTGTATGATATCAGCATTTGCACAGGTCAGCTTTCCAGGAGGGGCCGTGAGAACTTACACAGCAACTATAGCTACGGCAAAGCAAGCAGTCTCCAATCGACAGGCTGTGTGCAAGCTCGGAAGTCTTGTGAATCCGCCGTTTCCTTGAGGGACCGTGTTGTCGTTGGTGTTTCCACTTCCGAATGGAGTGTTGACATATCCTCTGCAGCTTCCATTACCACCGCGTGTCGCATACGCCACATAGATGAACGCTCCGCAGAAGGACAAGTCCAGGAGCATTCCTAGAAGGCTGAAAAATGCGATGCCGCCGAGACAGCATACCAGGAGCAGGGCGAAGATGGTGTAAAGGACGGCAGCACCGGAGATACCTTCGACGGCACGGATGTAAGTATCAATGGGCAGGTCGTGGTTATGCAGTGTTGCGAGGAAATAAGAGAAGATTGCGAGGATTACGGCGGCACAGCCGAATTGGATGAAGCGGAGGACGAGGGAGAGAGACTTCAGGGCGACGCCTCCAAATGCCATTTTGGCTGTCGATGTGTTAATTTGGCGTGGAGAGTGGTGTTAATTGTCTTCGCTGGCGCTTGACAGAGAGATCGTAGATGGCGAGAAACGAGGGGAGACAATAAGGGTTTATGAAGCAGGTTGAGATACGAGCTAGACAGGTGGTCACGCAGCGCAGAACAGCAAGCAAGCTGTGCAAGGCAAGGCAAGGCAAGGCATGGCATCACATAGCTGCAGATGCCATTCGCGGAGTCGCCTCGTTTGCGTCAGGTGCCCGCTCTCGGCACTTGATTGGAGCGTTTGGTCCGATTAGGGGGGGGGGGGGGGGGGGGGCTTGGATTCAGGGTCGACGCCTCGATCCCGATCCGATCGTGGTCGTCGGCTTGTGGCGCGGCATGACGAAAACCCTGAAGTGAAAAACGACGGTGTGGAACTACGGAGGCGCCCGGCAGTCTAGAAAGATGCCATTCCCGAGTTCTTTGACTCTTGAGATGTTTTGCTTAAATGATTCGCCCTTTCGAGAGTTAGCAGCTCTTAGCAGCACTTATCAGAGCCTGGTCGTTGAAGTTTTGAAGCTGGGTCGGGTCGGAGGGGAACGATCTCGCTCGGTGGAAATACGTCATGCATGCAAGGATTGCGAAGAGATCGACGGTGGGGTGTGGCTGTGACCTGGATCAGCCACCGACACGTGCAACGGCAGTTGGGGACCACAGGGTAGCGATAACTTCACGATGAAGCGAGTTCTAGTTTGGCATTTTGGTTTGAGATGGTGTTGTAAGCTTTCGGAAACCTGTGAAACATCAGGTTGTGCTTTAGATGGTATTTGAGACAGGACTTCCAGCTCAAAGCCTTTCTTCACATGTCCAGACGAGCAGGCGCTCGAGGCTTGATCGTCTATCCGTTCTGCATTGCATAGAACAACTCTAAATATATGGATCTAGGCAACAACACCGATGTCTTTATCCTCAATCGTACAGTTATAATGCCTCGCCTCTTGCCGTCGACGCAGTGTATGCTTTCTTTTGTCCTCTTCCTCCAAAATATAGTCCTCTACTTCGTCTGGAAAGCCTTCTTGAAACCAACCAACGTGACACGATACCGAACATCATTGACCTTAACCTTCTCAACAGCCTTCTTGCAACCGGCCTCCGAGATATCAATCTGCTCGATCATTGGGTGGAGATTCTTCTCGCTCGCAAGCTTCAACATCTCCAAAGCCTCCTTCTTGCTTCCGATGTGGGAACCACCGATCGAGCTACCATTGGAAGTGAAGTCCTGGGCCATCATCTCGGGCAACGGCTTGTCTGGGAGACCAACGTTGTGGAAGGCACCGTTGACGGCAAGCGTGCTCATGTAGGTTTTCAGGTCGAATTCATTGGTCATATCGGCGCAGTTGAGGATGAAGTTGAACGTGAAAGCGAGAGGTTTGGCCCAGTCCTTGTCCTTAGTGGAAACAAAGTGGTCCGCACCAAGTTTGAGAGCTTCTTCCTTCTTGCCAGGAGTGTGGGACAGAGCCCAGACTTCCGCACCCAGCCCCTTGGCCCATAAAAGAGCAAAATGGCCAAGACCACCAATGCCAACAATTGCGACCTTCTTGCCTGGGCCCGTACCGGCACGTTTGAGTGGAGAGTACGTGGTGAGGCCAGCGCACATCATGGGGCCAGCCTCGTGAGAGGGAATATTGTCAGGGATTGGAAAGACGAATTGTTCGTGAACTCGAGCGTGCGAAGAGTATCCTCCCTGAGACCAAATTTGGTTGCCATCCTTATCCTTCATCGCCTTGCCGCTGCCCGCTCCGCCGATATTGTATGGCGCGCCATAGGTGTCTGCAAAATTAACGATGATTCGACCACGGCATCCTGGTACACTCACCAACCATGTGAGGGCAGTAGTTCTCATTGTTCGACTTGCACTGGGGACAGTTCATGCAAGATTGTACTTGAGCACCGACACCAACTCGGTCTCCTGGCTTGATTCCCTTGACCTTGGGCCCAACACGCAGAACCTTACCGATGATCTCGTGACCCACGCAGATGGGAGAGACGGCCAAATCGCCCCAGCCTCCAGTAATTGTGTGAACATCAGAGCCGCAAACGCCACAACATTCGCTTTCGATATCGACATCATTATCTTCGAATACCTTGGGGGTGAACTGCAGGATTGTCGGTTATTCGTCCATTGACAACATTGAATTAGGACATAGAGATTCGGAATCTCAGCAGGAGTTGGAACTTGAAGAACTCTTCAATGTTTTGTCCCATGAGACCTTGAGCGCGAAAGTCCCGGGATGATTGCTAAATGGATAGACATGCAATGATCGGGAATTCTTCGTACCTTCTCCTTGGTGAAGTCACTCCATTTCTCCTTGGAGTTGATCATGAAGCCCTGGAATTGCTCAGGTGCTGATGCCATTTTAGTTGATTGTTCGGTTTTCTGCTTCTTGGTAGGAGAACCTTCGCTGGTCATGTTGGATAGGATGGGGGTTTATTTTGTAGTGGGAGGCCCATCAATAGCGTTTCTTGATGTCAGGAAGGCCGTTTGCACTTTCGAAAGGAAGGTCTAGACGAGTCTTCGTATATTTGGTGACCTCAGTGTTCTTCTCACATGCACCTGCCATTTTCGAGGTGAGTGCCCCTCCAAATCCCTCCAGACCCTTCCAACAAACAGTGGAGACATGTCTTAACCACGAAACTGTGACCATAGAGGGGTAAGAATAAACGCCGATGGGATTTTCGCAGGGACGAATGTTCGTCTAGCTTCAGACTCATGACATCAACAGCACATGTGGGTTGATGCGTTGAAGGGTGACGTCAAAAGATGCCTCGCTAAGCAATATAGAATGAACGATGTAGGAGTGCATGAGACGATACTGTACGAGATGAAAATATAACCCAAGCCGGGGGAAAAAGAAAAAAAGGGAAAAGAAAAACCAGGTGATGTTGAAACAACCGGATAACGTGAAAAGGGGTGCCGATTCGAACAAATCAGGTGACCTCTGAAGTCTGAGAGAACCGCAGTCTCTCTCACCCTAATAGGTGCGGGGCTGCGGGGAAAGTGCAGCTTCCGTTGAAGCTCCCCAGGTTCGTTGATCATACCATCTTCTTTTTCTTGTTGAAACATTGTGCTTATCGTCGATCTTTCATTCCTTATTGTAGCAAAGGACATCACGCCACGGTCCTGACATGACTCTTATTCATTCAAGCTACCAACGCCACCAAAGATTGTGGGAAGAAAAAAAAAAAAGGAAAGCTACTGATGGTCTGGTCGGCTGATGGGAGGTGTGAGAACGTAGGGGTGATCAAGAAGGAGGCGAGTGGGTTAATTGTACTATCCCCCCCCATGAATAATTACGAGTGGGTCCTGGGATAACACCACTCCTGCACTGACCAACTCAAGGGTGTATGGCCAATAGCGATTCTGGAGAGCACCTGATATTCCTAGTTGGGGGTTATAAACGAGGTTTCAGGGTGGCGTTACTAAAGGACCCACTCGTAATTATTCATGGGGGGGGATAGTATATACTTTCTCGGTTCGTGAGGACGTGGCGGCGCGTCCGGAGGAGCTCTCCTCGCTCGCGTCTCCCGTGATAACTCCCGTGACAGGGTTAGGATAGCACCCCGGGACGACCCCGTGTCCGTCTTTCTGTCGCCGGCGGAACAATGATGCCCCCGTGGCGGATGCCGTGACGGGAGATCGGTCTCCTGCACCGCCGTGCTCTCCATCTTCAAATGGCTCGTCAGCGACGCCGCAGTCTTCAAATACTTCGTAACGGCCGCAATCACATGTCGTCCTCTTCACGTGCCCT